CACCACCACTAAACGGCCTTGTAGCTCAGGCCGTGAACCTGACGGCTGAGATTCGTTCCTCACTCAGCCACGATCGTTTGATTAGGAGTCAAACGCAAAACAGGCGCAACATTTAAACCATCTTCTACCCGAACCTCATCATCATCTCGACGCACGGTAGACCGTGCTGGCACGCCCGCGCACAACCGCACCGCATCCAAAAGGAGGACGTCACGTGTTGACGCACATCCCCTCGGCCCGGAGCACCAGGCCGCGAGATTTGCGACGGACCAACAGACGCATCTCAAGTGCAATAAGGAAATTCGGTTGAAAACTTGATGGGAGAAATTCGGAAGGATAAAAACTCCATTTGATACTTCTTAAGGAATTAGTTAGAATTCTGGGACTTGAAGAAATGATCACATTGTAAAATTCAAGAACTTTTAGGTTACACATCTTAGAGAAGGCTTCACAATTCCAATATGCCCTTTCAAGTCTCGCCATTCGTAAGGCAATGCCTTTAATTTTGTTTGTTGCCTGTAATTAAGAATAGTAAATGAAAAGTTAATTGCACATTTAAGTCAAATTTCAGTTTAAAAATAAATAATATTTCTTCCAAAAATTGCTATTTTCTACGTAATTTCTTACCGTATTGTTTATGAATACATGAGAGATATCATCATGATTGCATAATCGACTGCGTCCACCAGGCTCATCAGGACACTCTCGACGAACTATTTCCAATGCCATTTCTTGTATCAAATCATGCATCTGAACATTCTGTTTTGATATAGTTAAGAGTGATTTCTGAACGAGAGCATTTATCCCAATATGACCACATAAGCCACAACTATCTAATATTTCAATTATTTCATCCTTGCCCTTCCCCTTGTGGAAAAATGCAACATCAAGAAAAATGTTCTTGTTCATCTCATCTAGTCCATCGTAACTTAGTTTGAACAAATAAAAAATTGTTGGCTCAATCATTCTCCATAGCTTATCCAATTCACTTTTTCATTCATCTTGATCTCTCTTATACACTAAGCATCCCAAAAGTTTAAGCGCTAGTGGAAGGCCTTTGGCATAATTTACAAAACGCTTAGATAATTCCAAGAAACCTTCCTCAGGCTCATTTTTTTTAAAGGCGTTCCGACTAAAGAGCACAATAGCATCATTATCACTTAATGCCTCTACCTTATATGATATATGTATATCATGTTTAACTAGCAACCGTTTATCTCTAGTTGTAATAATGATTATACTCCCCTTACCAAACCAATCTTTTTCACCAGCCAACTTTTCAAGTTGGCTTGATTCACTCACATCATCAAGAATGAGAAGAACCTTTTTATTATACAAGCAATTCTTAATGACAGAGGTTCCCCACTGTTCATCCCAAACTTGAGTAATTTGATCCTTTAAGATTGGGGAAAGAAGTTGTCTTTGTAGATTAACAAGATCACCACGTTGAGAAACCTCTCTAACATTAGCAAGAAAGCTGTTAACTTCATAATGGATAGAAATGCGATCATAAACTAGTTTAGCAATGGTTGTTTTGCCAATTCCGCCCATTCCCCATATCCCTACAAAGCGAACATCATCCGTAGGATGAGCTAAAAGCAAATCTACTTGCTCACGTATAAACTTCATTCCCACCAACTCTGTGGAATCTAACAATTTGAATCTGTGATGCGCTTTCTCTCACACCCATTCAACAATATTTTCAATAAGCTTTCTTTCACACCTACAAGGAGGAAAAGTAAAACGATCATGAAGTCTAAATTATAAGACATACATATAACAAGATATGAAGTTACATCAAATGGCTTATGAAAAAACTTACTCATTCTTTGAATAAAACCCAGATAAATTGGCCACTTTAGTTAAAGCAGCTCTCCAGCTCTTCACCCTTTCTCTGTCTTCCCTAAACCTTTCCTCATGCTCAGTGAATGCGCACGCAAAACTACCGGTTTGTTTTCGTACTTCGGAAGGATCCACATGATAAAACACTGGCAGAACGGTGTTCTTGGATTTCTTGCATTGGAGAATCTTTGTAAGTTCATCCAAGCACTAGGAAGAAGACGCATAATTTGGCGAGAGAACAATGATTGCAAGCCCCTTGAATGTTTTAATGCCCCTGAGCTGCAATTCGTGGTATAAATGGGATACAAAGCTTTTTCGAGTGTCTACACCCCTGAAACTCAAAAACACATCGTGGTTCGGTTGAGGAGCAGGCTGATCAGGTGAAGGAAGAAAGGCAGAGTCTCTTTGGGTGCTCAATGCCATTAGGCAATCTGCTGCTGCTGAAAACACTCAATGAAAATAAGCCTTTTGCTAACTAAATAGAAAGATGATGAGAAACGGCAAAAAAGAAAAGGATTAAAATTTAAACCAGAGGAGAAATAAGGACGTTGAGGAAACAAGTTTCAGAGCAAAGAAAAGGAAACAACAATAGAGAAACAGAGAGAACTTGGGAACTTATATATGTTTTGTATTTCAACAGAGAGAAACAGAGGAATTCAACATATAAACATTAGAAGGAACAAAAATACGAATTTCAACATATAAACAGAAATGTGGACGAAGAAACCAACAAGAAGATACAAAGCTAGCAGCCTCAGAAAAGCGAGAGACTTGGAAACCGTGTAGTGGCGTGCACACGGTTTCTCTTTTCACCAATGAGGGAGGAAGAACCCCATAAAAGAAAGCTACATGATTCTTTTCACCAATCAGTGCATTTTATTTTATTTTATTGTCACGTGAATTATGTGAGTGGTTGCATAATTTTCTTTTGGACAAGTTCAACTCTACACACATATACATACTGATTTAAAAATTGGCTGCGCACATTTCAAATAAAGTCAGAGGAAATGGATCTTTCCATGGAGAAGCCAAGAAATTTCCCATGTGAAATTGGGTCTATTCATTCACCGTCAGCCAACTTTGCCAAGCACCCTCGTAACAAAACCCATAAAATAATAAATTGTCAAGAAGAAGAAAATTTTGTTTATATGCAATTCCAACCCAACTTCCGCACACAAAAAGACAAAATAGTGGAAAAGGAAATGATGAAGCAGAAGGGCGGATCCATGTTAGGGCTCTAGCCCAGTGCGGATTAGAAAATAAGTTTGAGTGGAGTCGTTTTATTATGAGGACCGTCATATATGGTCCTCAAGTGCATACCTGTATTATTAGCCGTAGAATTAAATTGAAGACGCCTCTTCATGCTCTCTTATCGCGCGGGCGAAAGGACAGTCCAAGAAGGCTGAAGCATAAAGAAGCTTGGCAGACTCAGGAAGCCAAGAGAACAGCCTGTTTTCCCAAAAATCATGGAAAGCTGGGTGCAAAGAGGAGACGGATCATAGGAGGGCACCCTCACCTTGTCACTCCTGTTCCTCCAGGACGTTCTCATAGCCTTAATTTCTTGAGGCGTCATGGAAAGATTCTGGAACGACCTGAACAAGCCCGAATTGCCTACTCACGAACTGGGGTTTATAGGTCTCCACCCCACAGGCGCACTTCTTATCAGTGTAATCCCCGCCGAAGAAAAGATCTCAACTGGACAGACAGGAGACGCTCATCTCGGCATAGAGCTTAGACCTGAAATCAGTCAACCCCCTCCAATGCCTAGGAGCTTCATGAAGGCCCTCTCTATAAGCCAAGGCATGTCACAGAATAGCGAACCTAGCCAAGTTGATTTAGGCCTTTGCTTGCAGTCTCTGAAGAAGAAGAAACATTCTTCAGTGCTAACCAACCTCTTGGGGTTGGTAGCCAACGTGGTGGCTAGAACCTCATCTTCAAGATACTCCAACTCTTCATTCTCAAGCTCAGGAAAGTACAATTCCAACCATATCTGGGCCATCCAAATATGACCACATATGGCAAGATTCAGAGGGTTGATGGTGATTTGATAAAGGCAATGGTAAAGGGAGGCCAACATGAAAGGGCCCGTAGCCAAGCCTGTCTCATTGTGAAGAGCCTCTGCCAAGTGCATATATTCCGGCTTCACAGCTCCATCAGCATGGGGAAAAATGAACTTGTTTAGCCAAAAAGGCAAGAACATCATATGTTCTTGGTCGCGATCAATCACTCCCTGATACGTCATATGAACCCAGAATAGGTTCTCAAGCGCACAATTTCGGTCCTACTAGCCCTCATCGGAATCCCAACTTTACGATTCCTCATCTTATAGTCCCCCAAAACGTTGATGCTCATGCCCGAAGGTCTGAAACCAAAAAGGGCCGCCATGTCTAACAAAGTAGGGGTCAGAGGGCCAGGACCAAAGGCGAAAGTGTTGGAAGAACTATCCCAAAACCAAAGGGCAGATCCCAAAAACGAGGGATTTAGGTCAATTTCAATTTTTTGACAGCAAAATGGCATAATAAATCCCGTTTTGCACCCACTTATCCTTAAACAGGGGCAACATTTCATCCACCCAGCCAGCCCAAGAGAGATAGTCTTCGGGGAGAGCCATATCAGGACTCGAACCCAACCGTTCCAAATTCGCCCCCCTTGAACCCCAGTCTATATCTTCCAAACCGTACGAAAATGGCGCTCGGACCAACTGAGTGTCTAGGGCCAGTAAACTCTCAGATTTGGCTTGATGGTAGTGGGGACCTAAGAGTGGAGTCTTGAAGGGACCTCTCAAGCTCAAGGGAAAGGAGGAGTAAAAGCTTACTGAGCTTTTCGACTGTTCCTGCTCTAAAGCCGCTCGAAACTTTTCGGCATGCTTTGCCGCACTTTTTCCAGAAATACCGTCGAGGATATCAGTAGAGACTTTCGCTGTTTTTTTTTTTTTTTTTTCTTTTGAGCCATTGGAAAGGGACAGGAAGGATTTCGTGAAAGTTCTCTCAGAAAATAAGAAGTTCGAAAATGAGAAGCTCGGAAGTTTCTTTTAACAGGCCGAATTAAATGCCAGTTGTGATGAGACAATTGCTTTTGTCAGTTTGGCGCGTTACTTTTGAAAATATTATTTTGTATGATTTAACATCAGAAGAAGCTGAATGGTCTAGTTTTAATAGACTTGACCCAAGCCCATTAAAACTAGGGGCAACGTTTGTACCCAATTTTGGAAAATGGACAAAAAATAGGGAGTTTCTACAATTAGGAGTTAAAGTGAGGAGGTTATTTGAGGAGACCGATCCGACCGTCAAAACATTTAAAATATTTAAGTCCCATGATTTCTTTACATTTGTTGATGGTGAGATTTGACCTCCTCAAATAACCTCCTCACTTTAAGCCCTCATTATAGCCTTTTCGCAAAAAATATGATTCACTTCTCAAAATAGGATATTTTAAAGGCCCAGGCCCAACAACCTTTGTCTTTTTCTAAAAACTAAAGGATCCCTTTTATGTAGAGGGCCATCAGTATAAAAAGAAGTTAGTAAAAGCCTAGGGATAGGAAGCCTAGACTTTTGAGTCACACTAAAGTTAAAATGATCGATAATAACTGTTACACATTGACCCACGTGAGGGTCTGAAAGAGGTTGTCACCATTAATGATGATTTGACCACCTTCTCGCCTCGCTTAGCAAGGAAATAACCTGTACAAAAGCCACCAAAACCAGAGACGAACCACGTGGCCAACCAAGTTTTCGAGCACGAAGGACTCAAGTCAGAAGATTATCACAAAAGACTAGCAATTGTTCAGAAACATTCCGTCATCCCTCCTATGAACCAGTTCGGATCAGTGAATCAATAGCTGACTTTGAGAAAGCAGCTAAATCCTCTCTCAGCCTCCATCATGTGAAGCTTTCTCCTTGCCTATAAATAAAGAGCCTCCAGCATCGATGCTCCCTTTGTACACGTGGCCAAACCCACACCAACATTGATAATGGAACCCTCATTGAAGTTTCTGGTGGCTGCTTTGATCTCCGACAATGAAAACTCACGACATAAACCGGAAGGTAGAAATGGGTCATCATCGATGTCCTTGTCTCTTCTTCTTTGCCTGAAAACCAAGAATCCGAGGACACATAATAATACAACTATGGCTGAAACTGCACCCATGATATGTGACATCTTTTTGCCCTTAAAACAAACTAGTTTTTATTTTCCAAATTTACCCTTAATTAATAAATATAACCAAGTGTTTTTTAATTTTTATTATTTTTAATTAAACACATTAATAAATTAGGACTTTTCCTCTTCCCCCAGCTCCCTTACACGTCAAAATAACCCAGCGTACAAAGTCCGATAAGACACCTTGTAAACTCTTCTGGTTGCCAACTTTGCCAGTCGTCTAGAAATTGAGAAAGGTGTACTAGTCACATATATCTCAAGCACTCGATGCCACAAAGGTTTCTAATCACTAAATGAGGGGAAACCACATTGGGTTACTCAACATATTTAACGACTAATACCTAATTATCTACACAATAATAAGCTCATCAATTACTTACTTACTTTAAATTTGATAAAATAAAAAATACTTACTTAAAATAATGCAACAGTTCGATCCCATAAAGTTTAAAAAATTTATTTTCTTGTCCAATAAAATCACCCTAGCTCATGTTTCATCCTTTTTATTTTATTACACATATTGCATCTCCTCGACTGAAAGCATAGAAGGCATAGCTAATTTCTAAGAGTTCCACTTGTGGAACTACGACAATGATTGTAAAAAAAAAAACTTTCATTTACTCAACCATTCATTTGATCACAATGATTTGAACTACTAGTATATTAAGAATCCAAATCAATCATTCGTTTGATACTCCCGCTCTAGGGCAATAAAAAATAATAGAAAAAACGATAACCCAAAATTCTCGCACTCATTTTGTTTTGGTTAACTCTCTTCAATCTTCACACGCTTCCAGCAAAAAAATATAGGTGCTCTTCACATACCCACCAAAAAAAAATCAGAGAGCATAGTTTTTACGTTCTTCCCTAACCAACAATAGGTATTCTTCTTCCTTTTCTTTTTCTTCACAATTTCTTATGTTCTGTTTTTCACTATTTACAGAATCATCTGCTTCTTATTTACAAGAATTCTAACTTAGGTAAGTGTATCAATTCTCTCCTTGATTTACAACGTTTGAGTGGTTGTGTGAAAGTTATTATTTTTTTCTTTCTGAATCTGTTTCAGTGTTGAGTTTGGTTGTTTTTGGTTATTTTAAAATTGATCTGTTTTATTGTATACAAAAACAAAAAGGCTATGCTTTTAAAATATTCATTTATGGTAAACGGATTTCATTTTTATTAATAATGAAGCATATATAATACGTCCAACCAAAAAAAAAATAGAAGCATATATAATAAAAGATAAGAGAAAAGGTAATAAAATAAGATAAATTTGAACATACATAATTTTATTTTGGGAAATTTGCATAAATACCACCTGAACTTTTAGGCAAGTGCGTCATCACCACCTAAACTCTTAATTTTTATTTTTAACTACCTAAACTTTATAAAGTGCTACAATCCACCACCTATGTATAACCTCGTTAAAATTTCCGTTAAGTTTAAGGACCAATAAGTGAGTT